AGCTGTACGTACACACCTTTCAATTGTTAGTAGAGCCTTTTAAAAGAACCTTAGTGGTTTGTTTTTTTTGTTGTTGTTGTTTTGTTTTTTGCTTATGCTGAGTCAGGAAGACTCCCTTAAGTGAGATGCATGAGTCTCTGCTTGTTGCTAACGAAACAGAGCCCACCTAAGAAAAATGCTGCTACCAAGAAGCTGTGCTTCTCTCTGTTCTTTTGTTTCTAAAATTCCTTTTAAGTTCTTGTCATTCCACGTGGAAATTCAATCCCACATGCTGACACCATATGTTGAGTGAAGCCCGCCAGCCTGGTTCCAGAGCCGCATCAGTCCCAATGAACACACAGGAGGCTATATTAATTATGAAGCTGTTGGCCTTGCTTGTTTCTTACTGGCTATTTCTGACTTAAGTATTTACCCCATAATTGTTAATCTAAGTATTTCTCTTACCAGAGAAAGGGGTCCGGACCTCTCATTCCTATGGCGGCTACATCATGACTCCCTGTGTCTCTCTTTCCCAGAATCCTCCTCGACTCCTAGTCCTACCTATCTTGCTTCCCTATTGGACAACAGTGCTTTCTTTATTCAACAATCAATAAAAAACAGATTTCAGAATGACATCTCCCATCACAGTTTGTTTATATGGTGGATAACATTGATAGATTTTCATATGTTGAACCATCACTGCATCCCTGGGATGAAGCCTACTTGATCATGGTGGATGATTTTTCTGATGTATCCTTGGATTCGACTTGCTAGTAGTTTATTGAGCATTTTTGCATCATTGTTCATGAGGGAAATTGGTCTGTAGTTCTCTTTCTTAGTTGTGTCTTTATGTGGCTTGGAAACCAAATGAATTATAGCCTGGTAAAAAGACTTTGGCAATGATCTGTCTTCTATTGTGTGGAACAGTTTGAGGAGTATTGATATTAGCTATTCTTCGAATTTCTGGTAGAATTCTGCACTGAAGCCATCTGGGAATGGGCTTTTTTTTTTGGTTGGGAGACTTTTGATGACTGCTTCTATTTCATTAAGGGTTATAGGGCTGTTAAGATTGCTTATCTGTTCTTGATTTAATTTTGGCAAGTGATATCTATCCAGAAAATTGTCTATTTCCTTTAAATTTTCAAATTTTGTGGAGTACAAGTTTTCAAAGTATGCCCTGATGATTCTCCAGATTTCCTCAGTGTCCATTTTTATGTCCCCCTTTTCATTTCTGATTTTGTTTATTAGCATGCTCTCTCTCTCTCTCTCTGCCTTTTGGTTAGTTTGGATAAAGGTTTGTCTATCTTGTTGACTTTCTCAAAGAACCAACTCTTTGTTTCATTGATTCTTTGCAATGTTTTCCTGGTTTCTACTTTACTGATTTCAGCCCTCAATTTGATTATTTCCTGGCATCTACGCCTCCTGGGTGAGTTTGCTTCTTTGTGTTCTAGAGCTTGCAGGTGTGCTGTTAATTCTCTAGTGTGACTATTCTCCAGTTTGTTCATGTGGGCACTTAGTGCTATGAACTTTCCTCTCAGCACTGCTTCCAAAGTGTCCCATAAGTTTGGGTAAATTGTGTCTTCATTCTCATTGAATTCTAGGAAGTCTTTAATTTCTTTTTTTATTTCTTCTTTGAACCAGGAATGGTGCAATTGTGCATTATTCAATTTCCATGAGTTTGTAGGGTTTCTGCAATTTGTGTTGTTGGATTCTAATTTTAAAGTATGGTGGTCTGTTAAGATACAGGGGGTTATTCCAATTTTTTTGTATCTGTGGAGGTTGGCTGTGTTTCAGATTACGTGGTTGATTTTAGAGAAGGTTTCATGTGGTGCTGAGAAAAAGGTATATTCTTTTGTGTTTGGATGGAATGTTCTGTAGATGTCTGTTAAACCCAATTGTGTCATAAATTCTGTTAGTTCTTTTGTTTCTTTGTTAAGTTTTTGTCTGGAGGTGCTGTCTAGTGGTGAGAGCAGAGTGTTGAAGTCTCCTACTACTAGTGTGCGAGATTTTATGTGCAATTTGAGCTTTAGTAATGTTTCTTTCATGAATGTGGGTGCCTTTGTATTGGGGGCATAGATGTTCAGATTTGAGACTTCATCTTGATGGACTTTTCCTGTGATTAATATGAAACGTCCTTCTTCATCTCCTTTGATTGATTTTAATTTGAATTCTAATTTGTTAGATAGTAGGATTGCTACACCAGCTAGTTTCTTGGGTCCATTTGATTGGAAAATCTTTTCCCAACCCTTTACTCTGAGGTAACATCTGTCTTTGACGTTGAGATGTGTTTCTTGTATGCAGCAGAAGGATGGGTTCTGTCTTTGTATCCATTCTGTTAGTCTGTGTCATTTTATAGGCAAGTTAAGACCATTGACATTGAAGAATAATAATGACAATTGATTGTTGATTCTTGTTTGTTTGGTATTTATTGGCGGTGATGTTATTTTGTGTGGGTTTCTCTCCATTTTTCTTTTAGTGTTTGGTAAAGTGGGATTATCTATTGCCTATATCTTTGTGAGTGTAGTTATCTTCATTGGGTTGAAGTTTTCCTTCCAGTACTTTCTGTAGAGTTGGATTTGTGGATATGTGTTGTTTAAATTTGGTTTTGTCATGGAATATTTTGTTTTCTCCATCTATGGTAATTGAAAGCTTTGCTGGGTACAGTAGTCTGCACTGTCATCCTTGTTCCCTTAGTGTTTGTAGGACATCTATCCAGGACCTTCTGGCTTTTATAGTTTCCATTAAGAATTCGGGTGTAATTAGGATAGGTCTGTCTTTTTATGCTACTTGGCCTTTTTCTTTAGCTGCTCTTAATATTTTTCTTTATTATGTAGGTTTGATGTTTTGATTATTATGTGGCAAGGTGACTTCTTTTTCTTGTCCAGTCTATTTGGTGTTCTGTATGATTCTTGTATTTTCATAAGCATATCCTTCTTTAGGTTAGGGAAGTTTTCTTCTATGATTTTGTTGAAAATATTTTCTGTACCTTTGAGCTGTATTTCTTCACCTTCTTCTATACCTATTATACTCAGGTTTGGCCTCTTCATAGTGTCCCATATTTCCTGGTGTTATGTGTTAGGGATTAGTTGAACTTGAGATTTTCTTTGGTTGATGACTGTATATCCTCTAATGAGTCTTCAACACCTGAGATTCTCTCTTCCATCTCTTGTATTCTATTGCTTATACTTACCAATCGTTTACCAATCTCTTCTATTTCCAGCATTCCTTCATTATGTATTTTCTTTATTGTTTTTATTTCAGCTTTCAAGACTTGAAATGTTTGGGTTGTTTCCTTCACTTGTTCATTTTTTCTTGACTATCTTTAGCTTCTTTAAGAGATTTGTTTATTTCTTGAATTTTTTGGTTTTTTTCTTCTATTTCTATAAGGGATTTCCTCTTTGAGGGTCTCTATCATCTTCATAAAATAATTTTTAAGGTCTGTCTCTTCTGCTTCATCTATGTTATGCTTTTCAGGTCTTGCTGGTGTGGAGTCTCTAGATTCTGGTGGAGTCATATTGACCTTTCTCTTGCTGAGTGTGTTCTTATATTGTTGTCTTCCCATCCATTCTTTGAGTGGATGCAGGTGGGGTCCTTGTCTCCACTGGTCGCACTGAAGCCAGGGGCGCAGGTGTGGAGAGAGCCAGGGGTGGGGTCTGGGAGGACTCACATCATTCCCGTGTGGGTGGGTGGGTCCTCTCGATGCCAGGAGCAGCCCCGGAAGATGGAGGGTGCAGGTGATGGGAGGGGAAGGGGTCCCCAGGCGGGCCCTAGCTCAGGTGACCCTGGGCACGCAGGTGTGGGGATAGCCAGGGCTGGGGTCTGGCAGGACTCACATCATTCCTGTGTGGGTGGGCAGGTCCTTTCAATGCCAGGAGCAGCCTGGGAAGATTGAGGGAGCAGGTGATGGGTGGGGAAGGGGTCCCCAGGAGGACCCAAGCTCACCTGAATCCAGGGCACAGGTGTGGAGAGACCTGGTGGTTGGGTCGAGCCAGCTATTCTTAATTTAAATTATCCCATCTACCTTTTGCCTCTGGGCTTTTATCTTTCTCTATACTATATTCCTTTCTTTACTTCTTACTCCATGCCTGGCTGGATGGGTTGCTGGCCCCTGATGTCCTCCTTTCCTTCTCATTTTCTTGGTCCTTGAACTTCTTTTCCCAGATTTCTCTTCCTATTTATTCTCTCTGCCTGTCAGCCCAACCTATCATGTCTCCTGCCTCACTATTGGTCATTCAGATCTTTATTAGATCAATCAGGTGTTTTAGACAGGCAAAGTAACACAGCTTCACAGAGTTAAACAAATGCAACATAAAAGAAGGCATCTTTGCATCATTAAATATTCCACAGCATAAATGAATGCAACACATCTTCAAAAAATATTCCACAACAAAAACTCAAACAGGTGAAGTGACTGGTGATTTATTTGAAAGTAGGACAACTTTAATAAAGGGATCCCAAGGAAATCTACCTTGAGAAAATAACATTTGAGCACTTTGAGGTAATAAAACATGAACATGTCTAGGTTAGAGAGAATTCTTTAAAGAGGAGATAGGAAGTGAAACAGTTACAAGGTAAGAATAAGTCAAGTTTATTCAAGAAGACATGGAGCTGGATTACGGTGATCAAAGAAAGCTTAGTAGGACAATGATCTCACAGACATAATCTGACTTCTACTTACAAGATCTGCTTGCTTACTGTAGAAAAGGCTGAAGGGAAGCAAGAACAAAGATGATGATGAGGGGTCATATAAAGTTCATAAAGCTAACAGGATTACTCTGATGGATAAGATGTAGGATTCAAAGGTGAGAAAATATGCTTGCATGGCACTCAACAGAACATAGTTCTGAAGGGGTTGTTTCATTGTTTGGGAGGAGGGAGTGCATTTTGTTTGGGACACCCACAGACTGTGTTCAGAATTCACTGGTATAAATCAATGAATTACCTTTATGTGTGGCAGGCAGGAATCTTTTTGCAATAACTGAACAATTGTGGTTTTTACTTTTCAGACAAAGCAGGACTACATGAAGCCTCTGAAGCTGTTCTGCATAGGACTGTTGTTGTGCCCCATGGTTTGTCTCTTGTTAGAGACAGCTACTCCTTCAGCTTTACTTACCTTTGAAGTGAAAGAAAAAGCAGGATTGAAATCAGGTGCAATAAGTGCTATTAGGATGAATGCTTCCAACATCAAAAGACAGAAGATTCAAGTCTCAGGTCAGGAAAAAAATTGCTTTCATTATGTTTTGAAAAATGCTCCCTGAGGACAAGGGAGAAACTAAGGTTGTTCTGGGTGGACTAAGGGAAGGTTTCACAAGTGTAGTAAAATTGTTTAAAAAATACATATATAAGTGATAGTCAACTGATATGGAGTGGGAACCCCTCAAAGCAGCATTTACACCAGACATATTTTGATCTGATATGTTCTGGAGTTCAAGGTCTATAAGTGGTTGTGTCTTCTGAACTTCATGCAGTGGAAAGTTTAGTTTTTCTCAGCCTCTTTCCTCGGAGTTGCATCAAATCCCCATTCCCCAAATGATCTAAGGGGAAGACTCAACATCTCCAGCTTCATATTAATCAGCAGACTTTCCAAAAAGTTCTTTTTCCCAATTGTCTTTACCCTTTCTTAGTTCTACATGGCTGACTGCCTTCTCCTTTCTCTTTCTGGGACATTAACTTCCTTCAGTGTCCTTTAACACTTTCAGACATACTCTAGGTAACAATATGTTAAGATTGTCTTATTATCAGATATTCTCTTTCACAAAGTAGACCTACAGATATTTGAGATGGGCATAAATCTTCCCATTTGGTTGATGACAAAATTATATCCATGTGAGATAACCTTTCTAAAGTAATGTTTTTAGCTTGAGGCAGCACAGCAAAGTACATACAATCATGTGTTCTGGGCAACTCCAAGACCATAATATCTGAGGCAACTGTTTGATTGTCTTGACTTCTCAATGAATGCATATGCTTTCTGCAGGACTCCAGAGATCTTGGATGAGCAAGTTAAAAAATCATCTGTCAGATTTCTTCAAGAGCTCCATACCTCCAGCAGCCATTCTTGCTTTTTTTGTCACCGTAGTAATAATGGGGATCCTCTGCTGCCTCACGTAAGCTACAATACAATGAAGGAAGAGAAAATGTGAGGGGTTGGGGGATGAAAACACTCAGGCTCCCCCTCAACTCCTCATTTGAAATTAAGGGAGGTTTGAAGGAAAAACACCCTGGTAGCAAAACTCTGAACACCATTTTAAAAAGCTTCAGTGTATGATAAGAGACAGAGTATAAGGAAGAACCTATGACAGCAATCAAAGGTATTAAAAAAGATGAGGCCAGAAAGTAATTGTCTAGATTTCAAGATAAAGTAGAAGAGACCAGAAAGTAGCCATGTATAGTCAAGAAGTCAAATTCCTTGTGAATTCACAGATTATTGTTAGCTATGATTTTGAGAGAAATTTTTTGCCGAGGGAAAAAACAAGCTGGCATTAGATGAGTCATCAGGTGTAAACAATATTTAAATGCTTTGACCTTCTAGTAGGTCACCAAATTTGAAGGCCCCTAAGAAGGGTATGTTCCTCAAAAGTTGCTGTGGAGACAGCCACAGAGAATAAGAACTTGAAGAGCTTCACAGACAGTGAACAACGGACCAGAGAAGTCCTCCTGGAAGGCAAAATCTGAACCTAATCAAGATCTGCCTACTAGGATTCCAGAATTCTTACTCACTTGTGTCTCTAGTTGTTTGCCATTTCCTAATAGGAATGTTTATGATGGTTACCATTTTATAAGCCATCATCATTATAGGGTGTGGTGATTGGGATAGATAACTTGTTTTACTTTATAGATCTCTTAACCAAGCAGAACAAAATTCCCATATTAGAAAAAGCAAGAAATACTTAAATTCTCTGTTGTAGCATGAAAATAAAAGGCCAGAGATTGATATTGGGTTTCAAGCTTCAAGCAGAAGATCAAAGAAGAAAAGCAGCCAACCCCTAGCTCTTACCTCTACCTCAGACTGAAAGGGTGATCCAGCTAGCTCCATGAATCCTCAGAGTGCAATCCTAGATGGCTGCCTCTGCTAAACTTTGCTGGAGACTAGTCCTAAGAGACTAACTTTGCTTCTTCTTTTTCTACCTCTCACATCCTGGGGTTGAAGGCTTGTGATCCCAAGTGCTGAGATCACCTTTGTGTGAGCTGTTTCTCTTTAGGACTGGATCAATTTCGTGTATCTCGGTGTGGCCTTGAACTAACAGAGATTCATCTGCCTGTTTTCTGAGTCCTGGGACTAAAGGTGTGTGCCATCACTGCCTAGCACTATGGCTAGCTAGTATGGCTGCTGGCATTAAAGGTGTGTATCACCAATGCCTGACCTCTATGGCTTGCAGCTAGCTTTGCTTTCTGGACCCTCAGGCAAGCTTTAATAAATCATAAATAATATATCACCACACTCTGGACTTTGAACTGGATGACAGGAACTGTAGTTTTGTTGAAAAGGTATGTTATATATCATATGTTCTAGAAGCACACAGGGAAGCAAGAATTTACTATCCAGGGTATTGTAACCAGGTATTGATGTCTATAGAAGGCGGAGGGAGATGTGTGAACTTCCTTACAAGTCTCACCAAGCCTTAGTTGACCACATCCTATAGTACCCTGAATCAAACCATCATAACACCATTTTGGAAATTATTGGACAGGGGTTGCAGTAAGAAGTACAAAGCAGTCCTCTCCAGCAGAGACAAGCTTTAAAGGAGTTAACTCTAGAGGCTGTTGACCTACAGTACACTGAGCAGCTAGAGTAACAAGTATTTCTCAAGGGAGCATCTGGGAGGCAGGTTTCCATATGTATCATATGGTGGCTGTATTCCTTGTATAAAAGGAAAAGTAAACAGATACTGAGTGGTAAGAAAGGTCTTATTCCTTCTTTTCAAAAAATATGACAATCTGAAAGAAAATCCTCACTTAAATGAAAAAAACACAAGAGCCATTGGTAAAAACATATAAAAGATATAGCACACGTGATTTAAAAAAGCAAGCAGAGCTTTAATGGAGATAAATTGTTTAGTGAAAATGACATTTTAAAAAGTAATCTATGCAGGAGATACATGATTTCTTTGATAAAGAGAACAAAAACCAGGAAATAAAAACACTTAAAGTTAATTTTTTCACTGTAGAAATAAAGGAAGTCTTGAGTCTATAGTCATAAAGGGAGCATGGTAGTGGACACAGTGGAGTCTCAGTAACACTTTTTTGCTAGGACATTTCGCAATAAGGACTGCAATAATCTCTCTGTGCCCCTTCCTTCCTTCCTTCCTCCCTCCCTCCCTTCCTTCCTTCCTTCCTTTCTTTTCCTTTTTTTTGGTAGTAAAGCTTTTTTTTCTTACATACTAATCCCAGTTACCTCTCTCTCCCTGCCTCCCATTTCCTCCAATTTTCCCTCACCCCCTGCCTTTTGCTCCTCAGAGAGGGTAGGTCCTCCCATGGAGAGTCAACAAAGTCTGCCCCATCACCATGTTGAGGCAGGACCAAGGCCCTCCCTCCTGTGTCTATGCTGAGAATCCTGTATATATCTATTTCCATGAGCTGCAGCTACAAATGGTTAGGCCATCAGCTCATTACCTAAGGCAATCACCTGGGAAACCTGGTAAATTGCCCAGTGCTCTGGAAGCAGTGCTAGCAACCAAGAGGACTCACTGGCACTAACAAGTATACAAACATACACATACAAGGAATGTGTAACATGATTTATAATGTTGAGAAAAAGTCATGGAGACAACTTAAATGTTCATCAGTCTGAGCTTGTGAAGTAAAATATTGTATATTCATATAGACATCATAATGTTCATGTGGAAGGATACTTATGTGGAAACATATTTATGAAACAATATTGAATAAAACAAAAAATTATAATAAACATACAGTTTATCCAAATTGTTATTAAAAACTAAATGTCGGGGGCTGCAGAGATGGCTCAAATAATTAAATTTGATCATACTCTACCACAACTTCTGAATCCTACTGCAAGTACATTCGAGTGTGTGTGTGTGAGAGAGAGAGGGGGGGAGCTTTATGTTAATATATGTGTGGTTCATGTACATGTGTATGTTTGGGAATGTGTGCCTGAGGTCAAAGAAGGGCATGGTGTTATATTGTATCACTGTCAACCTTATTTCTATTGAGACAGTGTCTCTCACTGTATCAGAGGGAAGGCTAGGAACCAACAATCCCAAGAGTCTTGTCTCTGTCCCCCATAGTACTGGATTACAGGTTAGCATGACTATGCTGATCTTTTTACATGGGTGCTGAGATCTAAATGTGGCTCCATAAGCTTGCATAGCAGAAAGCACTCTTGTCAACTTAATCATCTTTCCATCCCCTCTGCTTAATTTTTTAGACAAAGATTCTTCACTGAATCTAGACTTTGAACATGTACACCAATCTCTGGCCTCTACAGATACTCCCAAATATATCTGCATATATGTTTGCATATACCCACACCCACATACACCACATGGGAACAGATAATATGATTATATGGTAACACCATGCAGATCAAGAGAGTGGAAATGAATGCAAACAGTTCAGCATTAACCATCATATCTTCTTTTTTTTAGCTTTTTTGTAGGTGAACCAGTCCACTGAAGAACTGAAAGACTTATGGGGAAAGTGTAGTATCGGACTCAATAAATTCCAAGAGCTGGAGAATATGCTATGTTCTTAAAGCGAGATTAAATTATTTTCCATCTTAAAATACCTTTGCTTTAATTTTTCCTTTTAAAAGATTCAGTTAAAAATATAAATAGCTTTACTATAGATTTTATTATGAAAGTAGTATGTATTACAGAAAATGCAGAAAGAAAAAAGTATTTAGAATTATAGCACCTAGAATAAATGTTAACAATTTAATGTATCACCTTGTCTTAGTTAGGGTTTCTATTGCTGTGAAGAGACACCATGACCACAGCAATTTTTACAAAGGAAAACATTTAATTGGGGCTGGCTTACAGTTTCAGAGGTTTAGTCCATTATCATCATGGAGGAAGCATGGTGACGTGCAGGTAGACATGATGCTGGAGAAGGAGCTGAGAGTTCTACATCTGGATTAGCAGGCAGCAGGGTCTGGATTGAGCATTTGAAACCTCAAAGCCCATCCCCACAGTAACATACTTCCTCCAACAAGGCCACACCTACTCCAGCAAGGCCACACATCAAATAATGTCACTTCCTATGAGCCTAAGGGGGCCATTTTCATCCAACCCACCACACTTCTTTTGAAGTTTTTATTAATTTATATATTACTTGTTTTTCAAAGTCTGTAAAACAATAGTTCTGTTTAAGTAAGTGTTATTAAACAACAGGGCTCTGTCATCAGTTATGTTTCAGAGATGCTGGATTAATCACATGTAAATATGCCATTTACTCACCAAATTTTAAGAACCTTTAATAGACTAATACAAATCTCAACAGAGGATAAAATAAGAAGTATTTTGTAAACTGATTTTTAACATAGTGAATATGTGCTTTAACTACCTCCAAATATATTATTTAAGGTATTTCTGTATATCTGGTATTATAAATGTAATGCAAGTAATAGTTTGTTGGGGAAGTCCTGTGCATTTGTCAATAAAGTACTGTCTGGCCAATGGGGAATCTAGATAGGAGGGACTAGGAGTCCAGGAGGACTCTGGGTAGGAGAAACACAAGAGAGTCAACATGTAACGCCATGGGGGTAGGAAGCCTGGAACTATTCTCCGGTAAGAAACATACTTAGATTAACAATTATGGGGTAATTACTTAAGTCAGAGCTAACTAGTAAGAAACAAGCAAGGCCAACAGCTTCATAATTAATATAGCCTCCTGTGTGTTTATTTGGGACTGATGCGGATCTAGAACCAGGCGGGCGGAACGGTTTCTCACAAGGAAAAGCTTCTCTTAACAGAATGGTTGTCAGGAGCAGGATTGAATTTCCACGCAAAATAACAAGATTTAAAGGAATTTTAGGAACAGAAGAACTGAGAGAAGCACAGATTTTTGGTAGCAGCATTTTTCTCAGGTGTGCTCTGTTTTCCTATCGACAAGCCGAGATTCACGTGGCTCGCTTACTGGAGTCTTCCTGACTCAGCATAAAAAAAAAAAAACAGCAAGGTTGTTTTAAGAGACTCCGCTAACGATTGAAAGGTGTGTACGTACAGCTGGAAGTGGCAGCATTCGCTGGATGTCAGCATGGACTGAGGCGGTAAGCTGGAATCACGCTTACGCCCGCCATCTTGAAACGGCAGTTTAAAACAGCCTCGGTTTTACACATAAGACACGTGGCCAGAAAAACATAAAGATTTACAGTAAAGTCAGACTTAAATGAAGAAAAATCTCTAAAGGTTTACAGTGTGTTTAAAAATATATGTGAGATTGAGAGAGAAAATGAAACCACAAGGTGGTATATAAATACAGAAGCCGGCTGTGGTGGCGCACGCTGGTAGGAATTGCTCCAGAGGCAGAGGCAGGCAGATTTCCAAAGAGAAACCCTGTCTCAGAGAAAAATAAATAAAAGTGAAAGAAATTGAGTAATAATAATAATAGATTAATAAATAAGCCACGTAAAGATGGAAAATACACAGAGAGTCTGGATACTGTACGCTATTATGTTTTTCAGTTTTTTCATTGCTAAGGAAGGAGCAACTGCTAAAGTACACTTGATTATTTGATTATAAATGCTGCTGAATTAATTCAACTTATATCTTTTGAAAATGCCTTGACCTCAAAATTTAAGTATAAGGATATGTTACTCGGAAAAGGAGTTTTAGTTTATGTTTCCACAGAAAATGAAAAGCTGAGGATTCCTTCCAGTCTTCTGTGGTTTGACAAACCAAGACCCCCGGAAGCAGTGGACCAGGTGTTCCAACTATTGAGACAGCTATGATGATGCAGTTTTACAGACACCGAAAATACGGACTTATACAGGTTTCTGAGTTTTGTCATGATCCCCATGGTATGAACAGCGCCCCCCTTCCAGCAGGAAGCAGTTTGGAATGAGCGACATCCCAATTCCCATCTTGTTTATAAATCTTTGTTTTCATTTAAATGGGATTGTTTATAATTGGTTAATGATCGCAACCAATCTCCTTTTAATGGTAAAAAGGGGAATTATGGTATGGGTATTGTTTTTCATTTATTGATACAAATTCAAGGTCAATTTTGTGATATTTATATTTCTCCTCTTGAATAAGAATTGTACTTATACTGTTCTTTTAAAACGTAATACATAATTGAATACAGACTATAGATAGTTACTTTTAATAGTCAGAACTTATAGTTAGGTTAGTTATGTAGGAGGAAGTCTATGCCGCCATGAAACATGTGACTTACTAGAGGCGCATACAGATGAGGTAATAAAAGGGCGGTTTACCACACCGCTAACCACACCCACTTTAGGCAGGACTAAAGACGTATACGGCTGGACGTAAAGACGTATACGTATGTAGGCGGAACTACGTCACTAGCCAAGCCCACTTTTGGGCATGGCTAGGGGCGTTACGGGGGAAGGCATAAAAGACAGCGCACAGGAAGTCTCGCTCTCTTTTCCTGGAGTTCGGCTTCCGGTCCAGTCGCTAGCTGAGATCTGCTGGGCTTCTCGGGGTTTGGTATCTTGTGAGTAATTTTCTATATAAAATACTTAGCCTTATTTTCAGTAATTGTGTGTCGCGTATCGTTACAGCGTCCGTAAAGCCAACAGTTTGGTCCCGAAAAAAAAAAAAAAAAAAGAGGCAGGCGGATCTCTGTGAGTTCGAGGCCAGCCTGGTGTGCAGAGCTAGATCCCACTCCTGACACCATTTTGTTAAGAGAAGCTTTTTCTTTTGCTAGCCGCTTTGGTTATCCCCCCGCCAGTCGCCTGGGCTCTGCCACGCCAGCCTGGTTCTAGATCCGCATCAGTCCCAAATAAACACACAGGAGGCTATATTCATTATGAAGCTGTTGGCCTTGTTTGTCTCTTACTGGCTAGCTCTGCTTTAAGTAATTACCCCATAATTGTTAATCTAAGTATGTCTCTTACCGGAGAATAGTTCCAGGCTTCCTACCCCCAATGGCGTTACATGTTGACTCCCTTGTCTTTCTCCTTCCCAGAATCCTCCTGGACTCCTAGCCCCACCTATCTAGATTCCTATTGGCCAGCAGTAATTTATTGACATATACACAGGACTTCCCCAACAAGTTAGGTTTTCTAGATATACAGAAAAATATTTGAGATAGATAAACAGTCTTCAAACCTCTCAAAGACCTTCAGAAAATGGCATTTAAAATGGTTTAGGGTTTTTCTTGACAATGAGAAATGTCTGCTCCTGGCAGCACCAATTATGTCCTGAGAGGAAGATGGGCATCGAAGAAACTCATTATGGAGTTTGCTTTCAACATGGCAAGATTAGCCATTTGGGCAAGAAACTGCTCTTGCCTGTACTGCTTGACTGTTGTTGTATAGGACATGCAGGACCCACAGGAAAGTGACTACTGAACTCAGTCTTACAGGGTTCCTACTTCATGAAGAGTCTACGAGACTTTCTGCAGGACAAAGAAAAATGACTGACAGACTGCCAACGCAGATGGACAGTTTGAAATTTCCTGCTTTGCTGAGAAATCTTCTGGATACATTGTGGCCTATGGGCTGAAGATGGATGCCCCAACATTACAGAGGAACTTCGGGTGACTGTCCAGGCAGTAAGATGTCTCTGTCAATCATAGTGTTTATATATTATCCTTCTGTGGTCTTTGATGGAGTTGAAGATAGATAGTTATAATTATAGTTTTCCTTAGTTATGATAAGAGATAAACTACATATAGGACTTTGGACTCACAAGAATGAGATAGATGATATTTTCTTTAAATCTTGGTAAATGTTGATAGACAAAATATTGTAACTGTATTCTTACTTGATAACTGTTCTGTTATATATGATTTGACTATGTTAAAGTTAAGACCTTTCTTTTTGTTTAAACAGAAAAGAGGAGATGTTGGGGAAGTCCTGTGCATTTGTCAATAAAGTACTGTCTGGCCAATGGGGAATCTAGATAGGAGGGACTAGGAGTCCAGGAGGACTCTGGGTAGGAGAAACACAAGAGAGTCAACATGTAACGCCATGGGGGTAGGAAGCCTGGAACTATTCTCCGGTAAGAAACATACTTAGATTGACAATTATGGGGTAATTACTTAAGTCAGAGCTAACTAGTAAGAAACAAGCAAGGCCAACAGCTTCATAATTAATACAGCATCTTGTGTGTTTATTTGGGGACTACAAAGCGGCAGAGCCCAGGTAACTGGCGGGAGATAAACCAAAGCGGCTAGCAAAGAAAAAGCTTCATTTAACAATAGTTTAAATTTTAACTTTTTCCCTCTTGCTGTTGAGGTTAAAATCATTCATTCCAGGGATGTGTGTTGAATATTTTCTGTAAACTGGGCACTGTTCTGAGTATATTATTATAGCTCTGGCTATTATTATTAGAGGATTTGGTACAGCCATATACTCTATTATGTGATGTCCATTAACATGAATTGCTAAAAGTAAAATTGTTGGGTTATATTCCATGATCATATTAAGGTTTTAAAATATTCCACATATTGGCTGTACCTATTTGCATTTTAGGCCCTCAGCTCTCCTTAAGGTGTCCTTAAGACTAGGTTATTTTAGCTGGGCATGGTGGTGCACATCTTTAATGTCATCACTAGGGAAGCAGA